AAGGGTTTTTGAACCCGAAAGCTTGCTTAAAAATTGTTCTCCAACTATTTAAGTTGGTCTAATAAAAGATATCAGAGTCACCCAAAGAACCTTGTCTGCCTATGTCCTTAGACCAACACTGCTACAACCTACACCCCTTTATTCAGTGTGAACCTTTAACCCCTCAGGAACCTATTAAGTAACTGATCCCCTTATCTCCTGTGAATAAGAGATTAGATCCATGCATATGCCATTTGTATTTTGTATTTTATCTCTCATCAGTAACAAAAAATATTTTGGAGTAATGTGGCCGTTATCAAAAGTTAGCATTTACCAACAACTGTTCTTTGGTAGCACAAAAAAAATAGTGTTATGTTTCCCCAAGTGGTATCTTAATTTCCACTGTGGCAAAATAACTGAATAAATGTTGACTTGGAGTGTTGTTATAGCCATGATTGTCCAGACAATGTCTGAGAGGCAGGGATTTTTACTGATATCTTTTACTGGATAAACTGTATAGTTGGGAGAGCTGTTGAACAAGCTGTGGCCATCAAGTGCCCTTCCTTAGGTCTGAGAGAGAAGCAGCATTGTGGGAGAGAAACAGCTTCTCTCTTAGACTTGAGGAAAAACATTTGATGTCCGAAAGCTTGTCCAACAGCTCTCCCATCAATATAGTGGGTCAAATAAAAGATATCACCAAAGATTCTTGCTTCTTGGGCTTCTTAATGATAATCATTAAATATCTTACTCTTAAACTAGTAATAGAATGCGCAAAAGAAAGTGTGGTGCCATAGAGAAACTCCGTATCCATTGAAATTGCATAATTAGAGCTTTGCTCTGCTAATCGTCATGTGACGGTTTGCAGGATTATTTGCTTCCCTGTGTGAAACCCTGGCCAGGCATATTGTGGGGGGTTTTCATCTTCTGTTCAAACAATAAATAGTGGCAAGAGTTAGATCTTGTAGCGTAATGGTGTGATCTTGTACAATAGATTTGAGACTGTAATCTCTTTTCTTAATGGGTGACAAGATAAGTGCACCTTGAAGACAACTGATTCTTGTTTTTTCTTACTTGTTAATGCCATAGATGGGGCAGTAAGACTAACAGGTGGAAAAGGCAGTCATGAGGGACGCTTGGAAGTACATTACGGCGGCCAATGGGGAACAGTCTGCGACGATGGGTGGACTGAGCTAAATACCCAAGTGGTTTGTCGGCAGATGGGATTTAAGTAAGAATTGTTTACATAATGCAACTAACCCTTTGTGGAATACTTCTGGCAGTATGGTCTAATGGATGTGCCAGGTTGTCTTTTTTTACCTTATGTTTATCAGTTTTGTATGGAATATGTTTTTAAATTGCACTGTACTGTGCAAAAGAATGCTAATCAACCCCCCCTAAAACCCTTTTCATAAGTGCCTGTTTTCTGCCTTGGAACAACACTGGCACTTTGCTGTTCTATGTCAATTCCATTTTTTTTATTCTTTTAAATAACTAGAAAAAAACCAACAACAGAGAGAAGGCTCCCATTGCCTTCACTAGGCTTTGGATCAGGCCTTCTGTGAGAAGTGCTAATGGTAAGTATTTAGGACATGAGGAACATTTCTCCTTGATGTGAAAAGACCTTCATAGCTTTATGCTCCTACATTTAAAAACAGACATGCTATCGGTTGCACCACCAAGACACTACCTGGACCCCGACTATCCTCTGCAAATTACCAGTAACTTCCACCCTCGACCTCTGTGAGTATTGTCTATATGCTGCAGGAGCAAGATAAGGACTCTGAATTTTTTAAACAACGTTACCTGAGGGCCTTGTGAAGTAAGCTGAAATCCATCAAACTCCGCTCTGACTTCCTCTACTCTCTCAGATGATGATGGCCTCTTTAAGAGAAAGATTGGAAAGCTTGTATTCATCCTGAGACTGAGCAGTCCCCAAAACATGTACCAAGCTCATTCCTATCACCTTACCAGCTGACTGAGTCCAGACACATATCTTGGGGAAGAGGGCTTCTTGAAGAGAGGGAGGGAAAGCAGAGGACTGTGAGACACTGATGGTATCCCAATACTGAAAAAAGCATGCAGGCCTACAAGCTGGCACAAGAGGAGAGATCTTCCCAGTGGGAAGTGCTCTCATTTTTTTGTGGAAACCAATTCTCCTCCACGAAAATCCCCTTGAACAGTTTTATGCATGTTTTTTATGCTGGGACAAACGTATTTTTCCCAGAACAACTATAATGTCTGTCCATGGCCTTAGTCTGTAGTCACATTCCTATTATGTCTGGTAACAAAGGTGACTATGAGTAAATGGAATATATTTTACAGCATAACCTTTCTCCTACTTTGGTCATTCACTAACTAGTTTTATGATCAATGGATCACGACATCATACTTTCAGGATTTTGATAACACCAAGTAAGTAGGATAAAAGAGAAAATAACTACAGTAAAAGCTCTGTTATCTGGCATCCCTCAGGAATAGGGGATGCTGGATAACAAAATATTCCAGTTAATTGAGCAGCCCGAACAGGCGTCCTCACTTGTTTGGGCCACCGCTTCTGCCACTGTGTCCGGGGCATTGCCGCCCCTCCCATGGCATTGCTGACCTTCCCGCAGCATTGCTGACCCTCCCACAGGCCCTGCGGGCCCCGCGGGACAGGGAGGCAGGCCCCACATAGCCTGTTATGCCCCTGGGCAATGGGAGCTCAGCAGCGCAGGCTGCTTTGCCCTGGCCTGTGGGGGCTTGGAGAAACCGGAAGTGCTACAGTGGGCATTTCTGGTTTCACTTTGCCTTACAAGCTGGCATGCTAGTTAACAGAGCATGCTGGCTTGTAAGGTGCCAGTTACCAGATCTTTTACTGTAATTAAAAGAGAGCACATGGCAAGAATAAAGGAAAGAATACAGAAAACCACATGTCAATAAAACCTCAATTCAGCAAGGCACTTAAACATGTACTTAATTTTTAGCATAACCTAAAACCCCTGAGTCAGCAAGTAGAACTTAAGGTTGTTTGTAAAATTAAGCATTTGCTATGGTCTTGGCTGAATTGGGCCACAAGGTATATGAAGATTTGGGCAATATGTTTTAAAAGTTTCCTTGAACATAACCATCAGTTAGTCTTCAAAAAAACATTGAAGCAAATTTACCCAGGAAGAGGGATAGACAGTAGGGCTGTGCGAAATTTCAGCAGCCATTTCGTTTCAAAGGTGTTTCAGGCCATTTCGGCGCCCAAAACACCGAATCTAAATTGAAATGGAAGGCGCCAAAATGTTTTGGAAATATTCTGGAGAATTTCGGAGTTTTGGAGCTGGGCTTGCAGGGAAACAAAAACTAAGAAGAGGGAGGGAAGAGAGGGAACCAGCATTATGGTTATAGGTTAGCGGCTGACCCTCTCGGCAGCACAGAGGCAGAGAGGGATCTTGGAGTCAGGATTGACTCCAGGATGAATATGAGTCACCAATGCAATGAAGCAATAGGCAAAGCCAACTGCACCCTAGCATACATCAACAGGGGCATCACTAACAGGTCCAGAGAGGTCTTGCTCCCCCCCATGCGGTGCTGGTCAGGCCGTAGCTGGGGTACTGTGTCCAGTTCTGGGCGCCGCACTTCAAGAAGGACATGAAGAACCTGGAGAGGGTCCAGAGGAGGGCCACTCATATGGTTGAGGGCCTCTGTGGCCAGCCCTATGAGGAGAGGCTGAGGGACCTGAATCTCTTCAGTCTCCGCAAGAGGAGACTGAGGGGGAATCTTGTGGCTGCCTACAACCTTATCAGGGGCCAGCAGCAGGGACTCGGGGAAAGTCTGTTCACCAGGGCCCCCCTTGGGGTCACCAGGAACAATGGCCACAAGCTGAGGAAGGATAGGTTTAGGTTAGATATTAGGAAGAACTACTTCACTGTAAGGGTGGCCAGAGCCTGGAATAGGCTTCCCAGAGAAGTGGTGTTTTCACCTTCCCTGGAGATCTTCAAGAGGAGACTGGATAGGCACTTGGCTGGGGTCTTATGACCCCTGCCACCCCCAGTGCTCCTTCCTGCCCATGGCAGGGGGTCAGACTAGATGATCTGTCTAGGTCCCTTCCGACTCATTGATTCTACGATTCTATGATTCTATGAGGGGGAAGAGGGCAGTAAGGACTGATTTGATATTGACATGTAGCTTCCGGTTTGATTCCCCAGCTCTCTGATTGCTTCCCCCTGCTTTTCTGATCATTTCTCCGTGTTCTTCCTGGGGATGTGGGCCCCTGGCTCTGCACATGGAGCTTCAGCAGGATGCTGCTGCAGGCGGGGGCCTGCAGCAGCCACTCTGTGCAGCCTTTGCTGAGGGCCAGGAAGATTGCGGTGCTCCAGCCTGCAGTGGGAGCCTGCTGAAACCCGGAGCACAGATCCAGGGGCCCGTGCCCCCCAGGAGCACCTGTGGAAAGGATTAGAGAGATGGGGGAAGCGATCAGAGAGCTGGGGAATCAAACCAGGAGCTGGGGAATTGAACTGGGAGCTGAGGGAATGTTCAGGTCCCTGAACATTCCCCCAGCTTCCAGTTTGATTCCCCAGTTCCTGATTTGCTTCCCAAATCTTTCTCTCAGCTCTCTGATTGTTTCCCCCAGATCTTCCTGGTGGGTGCAACCCCTGGATCTGTGGCAGGATGACAGCAGGCTGCTGCTGCCAGCTGGGGATGGCAGTGGCTCTGGGCTATTTCCCCAGCCAGCAGCAACAGCCTGGTGAAACCTGGCTCTCAGATCTGGGTGCCTGCACCCCCTGGAAACAGCTCAGGGAATGATCAGAGAGCTGGGGGAAGCAATCAGAGAGCTTGGGAATCAAACCAGAAGCTCTGGCTGACTGCTGGAGCCACCCCAGCTCCAAGACAGCGCATGGCGGCCTGCTGAGCTGCACTGCACCCACGCCATGGAGCAGCTGCTGCTTAGGTGCCAGGCAGGAGAGGATGATCCCTGCTGTGCAGGGGGCTCTGCCATGAACTCCCAGAGGCCCTGATTTCTGCTGCTGCATCTGGTGAGTGTGGGGCTTTTTTTTTTGAAGAGCCAGGAGGCTGGGGCCAGGCAGGGGATAGGGCCGGGCAAGGCAGCCATAGGGGCTTCTCCTGCAGCTCCCCCAGCCGAGGCAGAGGCAGGCACAGCCAGAGGAACTGCAGGAGGAGCCCCCATGCTGCCCTGTCCGGCCCAATCCCCCACCTGGCCCTAGCCTTCCAGCACTTAAAAAATATCAAAACAAAACCAAAAAAAAGCTCCGCACTCACCATCTGCAGCAGCAGCAATCAGGGCCTCTGGAAGCTCGTGGCAGAGCCCTCTCATGCAGCGCAGGGCAGCAGAGATCACCCACACCTGCCTGGCACCTGCACGGCAGCTGCCCCATGGCACAGGTGCAGCGTGGCTCAGCAGGAACCCGGAGCCTAGCAGTGCTCAACTCCAGCTCCGAGACAGTGTGTGGCTCCCTGCCAAGTCATGCTAAAGCTGCGTACTCACTGGTTGTGGAGCATGCAGAAGTCAGCATGCTGCCACTGCCAGCTGGGGCCAGCGCCAGCACCCGAGTCTGCCTGGCACAGCATACGCCGAGCGCTGGGAAGAACCTAGTGCTGGTGCTGCCCCAGCCTGCAGCAGCAGCATGTTGTCATCCTGTACGCAGATCTGGGGACCTGTACCCCCCGGAAGGGCTGCATGTCTGTGCTGGACTCTTCCGGGGGGGCGCAGGCCCCCAGATCTGCATGTGGGATGACAACAGGCTTCTGCTGCCGGTAAGTGATACTAGTTTGGCTTTGAACAGTTTGAGGTGCAGTTTCATAAAAAACCCTGCATCTATCTCCTTGAAACTTGGCGGGCTTCATGCCCTCAGAAGAGGCTACCATCCCTGCAGTTTTCATCTGAACAGGCAACAAATGACAAAGTTATAGGCATTTTAGTGGTTCCCCATTATAGCCTATGGCTGAAACACTGAAACAGTGTCAAAACTCTGAAACAGAGTCGGCCAATTCAAAAAAGAACAGTGATCCGAAACACCAAAATGAGTCACTGTCCCTCCGAAATGGCGAAACCGAATTGAAACATAGCTATTTTGTACAGCCCTAATAGACAGCTGCCAGGGACTTTAATGGATGCTAGACTTGCTTTTGCCAGAGCGAAATTTCCTTCTGGCTTTGGTGTTTTTGGTCTTATTTCAGAGCATTTTGGGACTGAAGTATCTTGTTTTTTATTCAGTACTGACAATAAATAATGCGTACGTATGTCTTACACAGGTATGGAAAACATGCACTTGAAAAGTATTTTGAAGAGAGCAGTGGGCCTATCTGGCTGGATGATGTCAGCTGCTCAGGAAAAGAGTCAAATATTCTTCAGTGCTCAAAGAGGGAGTGGGGGAAACATGACTGCAGTCATCAAGAAGATGTCAGAATAATTTGCCACCCAGATAATGATGGCCACAGACTCTTACTGGGTAAAGCATTCTTAGTAGGTACAGTTTCTCCGTGGTACAGATTCAAGCAGTTGCATCCATTTCAAGGTTGATAAGAATCCAAATCTCTACTTCCTCTACTGCCTGCATGCCATTAGGTTGTCTCAGTCAGAATAAGTGTGCGTGCATATATGTATGTATAAAAATATAAAAGGAGGACTGCTTATGGAGATAATGCAAAACAGTTATATTTCTTCCCGTATGCAAAGCCTTTCTGAAGCATAAAGGAACAATGTGAATTTCAGAGCCACTGTAACTTAAGTCTGTGCCTCCACGGGGCTTTCCTAATAGTATGCTTTCATGGAACGCTATTAAAGCTGCAATGAACTACTTGTTTCATGTCATCAGGACACAGAGAAGAAAATTTACGCTATAATGGATCAGTAGTTTACTCTCCTCTGAAAAAATGAGATAAGTGAAATAGATGGTTTTCAGAGGCAGCCAATGAAAGCATTTAGGGATGGAGGGAACTGCGTTTATTTAATCTGGAGAAAAGACTGAGAGGGGTTTTAATAACACCCTTCAACTACCTGAAGGGAGGTTCCAAAGAGGATGGAGCTGGACTGTTCAGTGGCAGCAGATGACAGAACAAGCAGCAATGGTCTCAAGCTGCAGCAAGGGAAGTTTAGGTTAGATATTAGGAAAAGCTCTCTCACCAGGAGGGTAGTGAAACACTGGAACAGGTTACTGGGAGAGACTATGGACTCTCCATCTTTGGAGGTTTTTAAGACCCTGCTAGACAAAGCAGGCCGGGATGATCTGGTTGAGGGTGGTCCTGCTTTGAGCAGGGGGTTGGAGTAGATGACCACCTGAGGTCCCTTCCAACAGTCATTTTTTATGATTCTATGTGGAAGGATTTCTGTGTTAGAGCAGTAAAACCTAGAAGCCTCAGTCCCTAACTAGAACCCCATTACATTAACCACTAAACAAACCTAGAAACCTCTATCCCAGTGTGCCCAACCCATTCAGCCCTGTAGACCAGATGAGTGGCATAGGGCTGATCAGCAAACAGTTTGGTACGTGGGGTCCATGCGCAGGGCTGGTCTGTCAGCCCACATCCAAAGATGGGGCAATTAATGCTGCTTTCACTCCCCTATTGTCAAATTTTCAGATGCTTGGGAAGTCCCATGGGATAGGTGACATGGCTCTGCAGCCTGGCTCCAGCATTTGGTTCACAGAGCAATGGTGTTCAACCTATCTCAGTCCCTTTATAATGAAATACAAAGAAAGAATGAAGTGACTGTGAGAAAATTAATAAGAAAGGACAGGAGAGAGAGTTAGAGATACAAACTAGGAAGGAGACATTTAATATTATGAGGAGGCAAAAATACATTAAGTCTGAAAAACGAGCACACGGTTATACAAGGTATCAAGGTCTGGAGCTTTATTAGGATTGAAAAAAAGATTAGACCTTGCAATAAATAATGTAACATGAATAGGAATATGTGAAACCATGATAGTTGTGGCAGAAGAGGATGATTCCTATTTGTTTATAATGGCATTGTTTTACTGAATCCCTTTAGGTAATAGAGCACAAAAATACCAAAAGAGAGCTTGGTACTTACCAATAACTCAGATTACCTCATTAACCTTTGTCAATTATTTTGGATTTGAATTTGGTAATTTTTTAATTATTGTCCATGTACGTAGATTTCTTTCAGTACAGAACCATTCTTGGAGTCAAAATAGGCGACCAAAAGAGACTGTAGCTTTGTCTAGGCTCCGTATTAGCAGAATACCAGTTGATTCCATACCATGAAGCCTTGTTGAAGGAAAACCCAGAAAGCAAGAGCACCCTTATAGTCACCACTTTGCAATTAAAACTGAAGTGATAGCACAAATATAGCTGAGCCAAACTTTTAGTAACAGACAAAACAGTAAATAGAACATGAAGGGAAATATATTTTTATTTTTAGCAGTAAATTGTAGTGGGTGCTAAAGATAAGGAGCCTTAGCATGGCTCAAGATCTATAGCATGGTCTATAAAAAGTGCATACAAGTATATGTACTTCAAGACACTATATATAGTGCATGGCAGGAGGTGCGACTGTGGAATCAGGAATAGATCCCAATCGTGCTAAATTGCCAGTGCAGGAGGAGCCTGGGATCTGGCCACATGTTCTATTTAAGGCACAATAAGAACTAGCCACAAAGTTGCTATACATCTTTTGTTTGGTCTCACCATTAATAGAATGAATGTGTGGCTGGGTTACTACTTAAGAGGTGATTAACTGGCTAATCATGTCTTAAGTCTAATGTGTGCCAAGGGCCTCAGTTACTTGAACATACTTTAACAAATCCATTCAGTATAACGGAAGGTTTTCTGACCTGAAATAAGGACTGAGTATATTTCAGGTGCATTTAAAGGAGGAAAGAGACTTTGGCCAAGGGTTTTTTATTTTTTTAAATAGAGTGCCTAAGAATAGGCTTCTCAATCTATACTTAGGTAACTAAGTAAACAGCCTGCCTTTCAGAGATGCAGAGTAATAGCTATGGGGGGGATGAAAGAGCAATTAGCACTTCTGATGAGTAGTAGACAGCTAGATTCTATTCCAGTTCTCAGACAGTGAAGTGGATTTAGGCACCTAAATCCTAATCCACCCTGCTCAAGTCCCTGAAAAAAACCTTTAAACACCTAGTGTTGTGACATGCAATCATATTAGCCTTAAGACCATGTCACAAAAAGCAAAGAGTGGAAGGACCCATCTACCTTTTGTATTAACTGTTTTTCAGGGACTATAGCATGTTGGAATAGGATCGTAGTTAAACACCTAGTAGGTAGGTTGGAATCTGGTCTTTAGCTGTTAAAAATATTAACATAGTAACCTATCCTTAAGCAACATGTTGATCTGTATTTTTTAAGTTTTGCCAACATCTATTGTAAATTGTTTTTGAGGGTAGGATTTTGAAAGGAGCCTAAAGCAGTTCAATGGAAGTGCAGAACCTAATCTGGATGCATTTGGGAGCTTAGCTCCTCGTGGATTTTTGGACAATCCCAACCTCAATACGTTTTATGAATTATTGCATTAAATATCTATCCCACATTATAGCAATGCAGTATTTTTCTATATTTTTCCACATGTACATTTCTTGTTTTTTCTTCTTTCCTGTCTTCCGTTTAGCCCCATGGTTTCATAGCCCTTATGCCCCATAAATGCTGAAAAGAATGTATTTATACTTGTAGTATCATGTAGCCAATGATTTTGTGGGGGTGACAGAGCTACAAGGTATTTGCTAGAACTGAATCCCAGAATAACAGGAATTCACATCATGACTGATGTCTGCACAGACTCAAACCATCTATTCTGATGCATTCAGCTTACTATAAAGTATAATCTGAGCTGAACACAGTCCAGTTCAGTTAAACAAATCCATATGGAACATTTCCATGTTCCTCTTACTTCACCTGAAACGGATATTAGCTTCCCACGTCTATGCACATTTGATAAAATGTAACAAGGTAGGTTAACAATAAAATCTGTACACTTTACTACTAATATCCTATGTCCCTTTTTGAGTAATATGAGTATAATTTACACAGTAATCATTCTTCCAGAATACCGCTTCATTTCTCGAGACGAATGAAGATAATGTATCTGATGTTTACTGTAAGTTTACTTGATGGACAGAAGACAAAGGCTATACTGTTACTATTTGTTTCTTTGCACTTGAGACAGTATTCATTTTTTTCTTTTGAACATGAATTATGTGAAGGAGAACTGAGAGAAATAAGTAGACAATGTAGCAGCCTTTTAAATAGAAACACTAAAAGGGCCACCACATTTAAAATTTACATACATTAAAAATAACACTTTGAAGGTGTTAATATGCAATTAATTTTTTATGACAATTAATAGTTTGGGGAATAGATTTAAACAGTTCCCTTGGAGTGGTAAGAATCCTCATAGTATAAAGAATATAACAATCTCACTTTTAAGTCCCTGTAAAAGTTAGTAGCTGACTAGAAAGCAAGTGAAAATGAC